GATCTGGAGCTCATGAATCCAGCTATACTATGGTTAGAGGAACAATATGAATTCACACTGAGAAGTTGATCTGTGCAATACTATACAGCAAATACGTAATAATGCATTTTTGCCCATCTTCCTTTTTTTTTCTCTTACATATCCCAAAAAGTTTTGGGTAGCAAGATGGCATTTTTCATTTCCTGTACATGAAAGTATATGTTCTTTTCAGATTTCCCTTTTTACTAGGAATAATTTGGGAAAATGTGGAGATGCTGGGCCATCAGAAATGGTAAATAGGTTAATAATTCACGTACCTTTTTGTGTTAGCTGTGCAGTACACTTTCAGTGTGATCAAGCAAACTATAATGAGTCAAAAGGAACTTTCCTTTTGAATTTAATAATTACAGCTGGTTTCAGCTCATATGTTTGATTAAAGACACTTTATATCTTCCATTGTTATTTTAACATTTATACAGTGCTTTACATCTTCAAAGCACTCTGCTGACATTACCTTATTAGTTCTTGCAATGCTGAGATGCAATTTTCACGGTGCTTTTATATCACAGTCCCATTTTAATTGCTATTTAAAGCTGTATTAATTATATTTATAATGGGCCATAAAAAGGAATGTTTAGTAGGAAAACCACTGTACCGACAATTTGTGTAGTACATTTCTTAAACTATAAAATAATTTGGTGTATGTTATACTTCAGACTTAGCCCAGATTTAGCTCTGCTAATGAGGGTTTCAGGCCTGTCCTCCCCTAGCACAGCACGATGCGAACTAGCATTGGTAAGAGAATGTCAGTGCTCTTCCTTCACTTGTTTTCATTGCTGTCCTGGTGAGACTTCTTTTCCTGAACTTGCTGGGTGAAATGGAAATCATTGCAAATACTATCACTGAGGTATCAGTACTCAGATTTCACCCACTGAAGACAATGAACAGCACAGGAGCCCTGTCAGGCACTGGTCCTGCTTCCTCCCAGGTTGCCTCCAGGAGCACATGGTTTTGAGCCCCTGTGAAAGCAGTGCTGCCCGCTGTTATAGGGGTACTCTTGAGGACAGTGCTTTTTCCCCATGAATCCCATATAGTCAATTCTCGATGCTGCAGTAAAGTTTAGCAAGCTCATGTTTTTCTCAAACTTGTTTGTGTCATGTTTGTCTCACGTTTGTGTCAAACAAAATTTTGGTCATTAGTTATTTGAATTTTCAGCTGTTACTGCTTTTTCTTTACGTTTCTTCCTGTTAGGTAAACACACCTCAGAAAACATTGCATGTTTCTTTAAATGTCTATTGTTAATAAATATTTTTGCTAATCACAAAGTTAGATTTGTAGATTCTTGTATTGCTGAAACCTATGTGTAACTTGAATACATCATCCAGACTGCATAGCAGCTTGGGTCTGTCCCAGCTATTTGATGGCTCTGAACAACAAATAAAATACAGTTGTCAGAAAATAGTGTCAAGTGACCGACAGCATTTAATGTTAGCTTGCAATGAAAACACTTCCTCGTTGTTGGTGACTATATAATTATGAATTCACAATTAAGTTTGATTTCATAGGTACTGATCACTCACAGCCACTGAAGTGAGAAATTGCTCAGAGCTCCTGAAATTTAAGTTACTGCTTCGTAACTCAGTTACATAACTTCCCGTAAAGGTGCGTGGTGTACCTTGGCATCTCTTGGCAATCTTTGTCCATGGTTACAGGAAAGCCACTCCTTTCTGTCACCTAGTAACATTTTAATAGTCAACATCAACTCAGAGTTTCTGAGCTACAGTTTGATTTGTCAGTGTGCTTGGAAAACAGTACTTTTTAAAACATCGTTTAGGCTACAAACGCTAGACAGTGTAGTAGTCTGAACCAAGGACAACACCTTGTGGAAGCGTTTGAGAAGGAAAAAAATTGTACTAGTGTATTCTGAACATAAAATGGAAATGGCTGAAGGTAAGATTACACCTGCAGGCAAATCAGGCCAACTCCTGGAAAAAATCTGGCACCTGAACTTGCTGGCCAGAGATGTGTTTCTGAAAAGTGACCTGGATAATGAACGTATAATGGAGTATGTGCTTAGACTGATCTCTTTAACAAAAGCGCTGAGCAGATCTCTCAGCCAGCAGCTGGAGAACATTACGGAAAGTATTCAAGACACCTGCCACTTGCTGAGTGCTCTCCATGACAAACACAAGGAATTTACTCCAAGTCCAGGCAAGTATGGAGGGACTTACCTGTGAACAGAACAGACTGGGTATATTGGATGTCAGGTTCTGCCATGTGATGATGCTGGGGGACCTTACTTTTTGTTTGTTAGTATTTCAGTACTTGGTCATTCATTAGACCAAATTAATTCACATTTCAACTGTTGTATTACACTGTTTTCGAGTCAATAACATGAGATTCAATACGAGACTCATAATTCTCACTATGTGAGAAAAAAAATTAACTAAACAGAATTGTTTCAAAGTTTTAGGTGTATTATACGTTGGTGGGTTTATCTTGGCCAGACACCAGATGCCCACCCAGCAACTTACTCCCTCTTCTCAAAAGGACAGCGGGAGAAGGTAAGATGGAAAAGCTCATGGGCCAATATAAAGACAGAGAAATCACTTACCACTTACTGTCATGGGCAAAATGGACTCAACTTAGGGAAAAAGTTAATTTAATTTATTGCCAAGTAAAATAGATTTGGATAGTGAGAAACAAAGGCAAAAAATTAAACACCACCTTTCCCCCACCCCTCCTTTTTTCTAGGCTCCCCTTCACTCCTTCATTCCCAACTCCTCTACCTCCTCCCTCTCCTGAGGAGTGCAGGGGGATGAGGAACGAGGCAGCAGTCAGTCCATAACAGTTCCCCTCTGCCACTCCTTCCTCCCCACACTTTTCCATCCTCCACTGTGGGTCCTTCCCACAGCCCACAGTTCCTGTCAGGAAAAGCTGGGCTCTCCACGGGCTGCAGTTCCTTCAGGGAATATCTACCTGCTCCGGTGTGGGGTCCTCCACAGGCTGCAGAGTGGATATCTGCTCCAGCCTGGTCTCCCACAGGCTGCAAGGGAATCTCTGCTCCATGCCTGGAGCACCTCCCCTTCCTTCTTCTCTGACCTTAATGTTTGCAGGGCTGTTTCTCACGCTCCTTTCCTCACTGTTCTCTGATGTTCTTGCCCTTTCTTAAATACCTTTTCACAGAGGCAGCACCAGCTTCCCTGACAGCTCAGTCCTGCAGTCGGTCCGTTGTGGAGCCGGCTGGAACCGGCTGTGTGCGGCATGAGGGAGCCCCCACCTCTCCTCACAGAGGCCGCCCCTCCAGCCCCCCGCTGCCAGCACCTCACCAAGTAAACCCAATATATGTAGTCTACAGTCCTCTACAAGTAACAACATGGTTAAAAAGATGGCAATAAAAATAGGAAAGACTTCTGCCATCAGTGCACAGCTAAACACATGGAATTCAATTTCTTGCATTTATAACAATGATACGGATTTAATAACAGTGTTATTTATTGTGAGGACCAAATCCAGATTTTACTCCCGAAAAAATACAGGATCATTTTGTGACAAATGAAACAACTCTTTCCTCAGAAACCACATCTTAACAAACATTCATCAAAGTAGAGAACAAAACTTAACATTCCTGCATGTAATAATGGTCTAACAGCATGATGCATAGACAGAGAGAGACTCCAGGAAGAAATCTTTAGCTGTGTCCATGTTTATAAGTCTTTGTTCTACAGGTTTATAAAATGTCCGCAATAATAAAAGAACATTTTTGTAAAAAAAGGACCTGCTTCCAGGCTCCAAGGTCAAGCTAACTTTGCCCTGTTGGCCACATGTCCTATGTGATTTTTTTTTTTCAGATTTCTAAGAATTCACTATCATTCTCCTTCCAAAAAGCTACCTTTCCTCATCTGACACTTTCCCATAAAACAGCCAGCAAAAAGGTTTGAAGACAGTTGCATATAAACTGCCACTGTATTCTAAAGCCGTGTTGTCAAACATCAAAAAAGAACAGAAAGCAAAGTGTCAGAAAGGCGATGGTGAAGGGGGGGTAACACAAAAGAAAGCTTATTTTGAGGTTAACCTTGTAACAGAATGCAAACTGTCTTTTCATGCGACACATTTCGGTAAAGTTGCAAGGCCATGTCTTTGCTCGGCTTTAAGCACTGCAGTGTTAGAAAAGTCACATTCACAGCATAGGAAAATGCCATTTTTTTGAATGACCCCATTATCTTCAAATTTGATATTGGAGTTTAAAGAGCTGTACGATTTGTTTGGGTTTTTTTTGTTTAGAGAGTGCAAAAGTCAGGGAGGAAATAGGTTAGTTTCAGCAGTTTTGCCGAGTTACAGTGAAACTGGGAAGTGGTCTTTTACAACCTCTCTAGCAAATGAAGCTATGTTATTTCCAATCCTTTTGTTTTATTTCTCAGCCCTGTTAAACTATTTAGAAGTTCTTCTTCACTTTTATAAAAGTACCACTGGAAAAGCAGCAGTACATTGGAACAAACCTGTATTTTTCTTTCAACTACCAGTGGAAAAAAGTATATTAAGAATGTGTTTGCTTCTTTTTTTCCCCCCACATGTAGTAAAAAAGCCAATAACAAGTCATTTAGAATCTGATAAATTATTGAAAAGGAATAATTTTTAGGCTGAGTTCAACAACAACAAAAAAACTTTATTCTGAACTGTACTCTTTGCAGGTTTAAATTAATTGGATGCAAATAGAGATGAAAGTGAAAGGCCTGTCTAGATCATATAATATCACACATTGATGTGTGATGACATTCTTACTCAATAAAATTATTTTCCAAGTTGAAAACCTGGAGATATTGATTTACCTCCTATGACATTATTGAAAAAAAAATGAATGTAAGCCAGTGGTTTCCCTAAAGACTTGTATCAGCCCTTTCTATTGTCCTTCCCTTGTGTGACTCTGTCCATTATAAGCGGAGAGCACACCATACTGTGTTTCATTCTGTACAATTTTCTTATTTGTATTGACTTTCACTGGATTTAACCTGCAAAACAAAGCTTTCCAGGATCTCATGCAGCAAACAGAAAGAAGCAAGAAATTTTCTGAGAGGTTTGCAATATACCTAACTAATGAAGACACAATTCTAGTAACAGAGATTGACAGCATAAGGTGAGGGAAGAGCTGAAAGTAGTACATCTGTAATCCTTGGAGAGAATATTTGGAAGGGTTTCTAAGAAAAGGTGTAAGGTAAGAAAAACTAGGGATCATAAAATAAATAGGTTAAAGATAAAATCTTACATGAATGGCACATAGTGATTGTGTGCTTTTTGCGCATCCTTCTTCACCAAGTGTTTTTAATTATATGCAAGAGAAACCACCACCATTCCTATAACTGGATGCTACAAACTGCTGAACTTCAGTATTGTATATGTGCTGGTGTTTTTGTGTTATCCTCTGTTCTCCATAGCAAAAATTCAAAGCTGCTAAGCATGTTTAATATTAAGCCCATGTGTAACAGGTTTGTTAGAGACCCATGCATTAGAATCTTGGAGGATTCAATTTTAGGAAATATATAATAAATGTTTAGTTTTAAAGCTCTTCCTAAATCGATTTGACTATTATTTACCAATTCCATGCTTTAGATTGATTGTCGTTAAGAATTTAGCTAGTGTCTGATCATTAGACAGGTGTTCATTGGAGTTGCCACAGCAGTACTTTGACAAATACACAGTTGTACTTGAACAAGTACACAAATGTACTTGTCCATATTCAATTCTTCAGAAATAGACTCAAATTGAATAGCAATAAATGCAAAAATATTAAATAGAAGCCAGGAAATACATTGTGCTTCATGTATTGAATGGCACTATGGAATTAGGTGGAATTCATTTGGTATGTGTATAAAAGTTTTCACATTTTTGGCTATATTTTATAGCAAAATTCAATTGGTTACCTATTTTTTGCCTCAGAGTACAATGAAATTATAGATTGTCTGCAGAAAGTGAAGGATTGTTTGATTAATACAGTCTCACGCCTTCAAGAGGCAGAAAAGAAACTTTATGCTACTAGCTGCAGACAAGATGATGATTCTCAGATCCAGACTGCTCAAAATGCTTCTAGAGAAACAGATGTGTGTTGTTTTGAAGAAGAAGCAAAAGAGACTGTGCAAGCATCTTCTAGTCCCAGTCAGCAATCCCAAAGAATTCCTACCTTGAACAAGATGGAAAATCAGAATGTTAATCAAATCCAGCCAAGTGAAACTAAAACTGTGGAAAAAGATGTCGTTCCATCATTAGCTGAAAACGTATCTGCTCAAAAACAGGATGTTAGCAGAGAACCTCCAATGCAAAAGGAAGATAGTGAACACAGACTACTAATGAACTCTGTTACAGAGAAAAACAATTGCAATAGAAAGGACAAACCTCATGGAGGTAGCTCTGTTACTGAAAAGTCTCCAGAACTGGCTTTTCAAGATGCTCTTACGAGCAGTGGGGAATGCATTCTATCTGGGACACTGAAAGACATTTATGACAGAACGGTCAAGAACCTTTTTGAACAGGAAAAAAAGGCAGTAGTCAAAGAATCTTCAAAAGGGGTAGAAAATGAAGAACATAGACTGACAGAGCAAATGGAACACAGTAAAATGGAAACAAATCATGAGATTTGTAGGAATGACCTAATTACCTTCACATCTTCAGCACAAAAGTGTGATCTTACTGCTGTGAGTCCTTCTATGAATGATTCAGAAGAAGTACAAAAATCTGGACAAAACTGGATGAACAAAAAGTAAGCACATAGTCTTCTTTTTAGGAGCAAATGTACATAAATATTGCTTATTATCACACATATAAACATCCGTGGGCCCAGAAACTTAGTATGCATGTATTGAACAGCTGCTGATCATGCACATAATAGCAGTTTACAACTTAAGCATGCACAATGAAGATCTTCCATTTGGTCTAAAGTAAACTGTAACTTTCTCTTTGACTGCATAATTTTTTTTTTTATGCCAGAGAGGGACTGAGTCACAGCCAGTAAAGTCAATAACTCCCAAATTGTTGGAAATCAGTAGGAAAGGACCCTAATTAGTCAGTTTTATAATAATTTGTAAGCTATTCTGAAACAAGCTAAACAAAAATTTTCATGATTTCCCATCTATTCATAAACATGTATTTTTATGAATGATCTGCTCATGCTACAATGTAGCACATCATTATAGTAAAATATTTAATTAAAAATACAAGACACTACCCCACCCAAAATACAAATAATAATATTTTATATACTTTTTCTCTCCAGATTTCTAGTGGAAGAGAATGGTAAGAATAAACATGAAGTAGCTTGTTTTATTAAAGGCCCTGCAACTGCTCTGGAGAATCTGAAGTGTAAGATGGTCAATGACACTAGTTCCTTGGTGGTGGATGATTCTGAGGAGCTGGTCAGCAATGTCATCAGTATTGAATGCTCTGATTATAAGAAAACAATCCCTTTCCCTATCAACATTGCAATCCCATTTACTTCGTGCTTCAGAGGAAATTATCGGGAGATTATGGTGAAGGTGACTGATGCGAACTTTCAGTCAAACTACTTAACTCCTGTTTCTTTGGAGGCATACCAAGGAAACCATAAGGTTCGTAACCTTCATCTAAGCATTATAAAAACATCATTCCAAGTTCCCGGTTGAACCTTTGTGGAGTTATACAAGTAAAGTTGTCATTATTAAGCCATATTGCCCAGTACATGGGTTTAAATTGAACTTTTCTTCCTACTTTCTCAAGAACTGATTCTATCTGAAACTTAGTATTTAATAACATCCTCTTTTTTCACTCATAATGTTAAGGCAAGTGCTTGATCCCACAATACTGGTGATTGAAGAATGGTTCATGTTTTTTGTAAAAAAGTGTAATATGTTGCATTATTTGATAAACGTAAAAACTTAGAGGGAATTATTTTGCATTCAGATCACAGAGAAGTAACACAGTTCTGTGTGTATGAGTCCAAACTCCATCTCAAAGAAACACAAGATGGTTCTTTTCTTAAAATGCAGAAAAATTGCGTTGGGCCAGATTCATCACCCAGTTTATGAGCATATTTCATTTCACCCCAATCATGCACTGAAATATTAATGACATCACATGATGACTAGAGCTCACTAGCTAACTGGGCATCCAGGTGGCAATAATATTCAATTTATTTTCACTTCACACCTTGCTCTATAAATAATGTTGCTTTCTCAAAATGCTAATCCGCTGCGGAACACAGCTTCCTTTCTGTGCATTGGACTGTAACCCCACATTCTCTTTATGCAGGAAACCTTTGCAGAAGTGAAGATTTATCAGCTGGGTGTTTTTTCTGTGTTGTCATGCTTAAAGAAACAAACATTTACTGTTCCAAAGGCAGGACTCTCACAAAAGCTGAGCATGGATTCTAGAATCTCTTTCTGTTACCGTCCAGAAACATTCAGTTCTGCAGCACCCATGCAGTTAAAGGTGAGCTTGAAATACACAATACTGTTCCAGAAGTCTGTTATCTGTTCAATTCTGAAGCAGGAATACCAATAATGTTAAAGGGCAACCTGTTCCATTGTTAGAAGTCTATGAAAAGTGGTTGCAGCTCCACATCCTGTATACACAGCAAATAGTTTCCTGTCAACTTTGTTAAAACCGCATAATATCCTCAGTAGTCAACAATGTCTCTAGTTAAAAAGAAGAACCATCTACCCTTGATATACTTCAGATAATACAGTTGTTTTCAATAATGACATACGCATCAACTCCAAACTTCAACTGCTTGGCCCAGTGTTCAATTTAATGGAACAATTTTTCTCCCCTGACCTTCAGCATTTGTACCAGACAGTGCAACAGACGGTTTTGTCACCTCTTAGTCTTAGGCTGAGAATAATCTCAAAATTTGCTTCAGCTATAATGTGTTTCTCCCTTCCCCCATAAAAACATTGATTCTGAGATACAGAGAAGCTAAAATTAACAGTAAGAAAAATACAAATTTGAAAAATCTTAGAAAATTATCAAAATCTGAGGTAGCCGAGAAGTTTCAAAACTTGAACTCAAAACAGGACCAAAACAATAAGAATATTTCAGTTGGTAAAGGTTCCAGTTTTTGCTTTCAGGCACTTGGTTGTGCATTGTATAAAGTGCTGATACTTTGGTAGGGTTGTTCCTGGGTTAGAGAGATGAACCTAAAGCTTTTGTGATAGTCTGATCCAATTCCAAAAGATAGATCAATTTCTAAAAAAACAGGCATGTAAGAGAAAATTTATTCATTTACAAATTAATTGTACGATTGCTTTCCATATTTAGATTCAGCCAATTGAGCCATCATTGATTTCGACATTGAAAGCAAGACATGATATGTATCACTCAGTGGTATCTACTAGTGCACTAGTTTATGTCCAGCATCCTTCAGCCCAACCATTTAACAGCTCAGTCACTATTACTCTACCCTGTCCTCCAAACGCAGAAAAAAAAAGGCAAGGAGACGAGAAAGAACATGCAAGAGCCATCAGTGCTACAGTAAAGAGAGTTGCTACAGCATACCATCCTTGGTAAGGACAACTTCACTACAAATTCAGCCTTTTCAAATATCAAAATGAATTAATTTTAACAGTTGCTGATTAATAATTTTTTTGTATTAAAAACATGTTAGTCCCTTAATACCGTCCGCTGTACTTAGAAACATTGTTAGAAACACTAGAGCAAATCCCTACAATTCTCATGCTATAGCTTCACCAGGAAAATTCATATAGTATTTGATGTATAATCTTTAAATATCCTAAGCACTATATTTCTAGCAGGAGTCAGGATGAGAAATGTGTGGGTTTTTTTCAGCAAGAAATGTTCAGCCATTTTCACCAAAGCCAAACACTGAATATAGAGAATAACTGCATCTCAAAGCTACTGTGATCATTATTTTACCAGTCTGTGGTTTGGCTACCCTGGCCTTTGAATTTTCTGATCTCTACTTCTACATATTCCGATGGCTACCTGAATCAAAATTTATGAAACAATAGTTTGGAGTAGGTCAGTTTTGTGGTAACTGCCTCACTAGATAAATGCATTTTCCCAAAGCACTCACTTCAAAATTTCTAAAACTTAGACCTTTTGGAATATCTTTAAAAAGCATTAAAACATGGGGACTCCTAAAAAAATCTGTAAATTTCAGTTGTTAGCTGGCAGTCCAATAAAATTTATCCATCATGCACACAAGGATATGGATAAAACTTTTTGGTGGAAGAAAAGGCCAAAACTGACCTCATCTATTTTGACAGTCAGCAAAATAAATGGTGTTTTTACCATCTCATGCAGGAAAAAAAAAATCAATCTGAATTTACCATTTGAATGTTGTCCTTCCAGTTCTGTTACCATGGGCAGCTCCAGGTTCAGAAATGCTTGCTGGGATTTTTTGGTAGGGACTAGCTTGGGACAAGAGTCAGCTTTGAAGTACTTCTACTTTAGGTCATTAAAGAGTTAGCTTATTCCTGCT